GCTGTTCCCAAGATGCCATGCGGCCGCAGGAAGCTCAATGCTTCATGTAAGCGTACTCGTTACACGTATCACGCTTATAAAACATGGAGAGAAAGTATGCTGAAAGGGATCAACAATGCCCACCACCCAAGAACGCGAGGTAATTTTGAATATCATACGTCTGTATATCATGTTTTACATGTTTGTGTGAGCGTCGCACGTAGTGGTGCTGTGTTTTGAGGAGCTTGAGGTTGCCATTGATTTCACTCTGTTCTTTAACATACAGCAAAATGGTCTAAACAGGAACAGTGTAACAGTGTACTCGGTCAAAGACACCAGTCACTGGAGAGCTCCTATATTCCATACCAGTACGAGACGGATTTCTTTCAAGATGTTTGAAATGAAAGCAATCCGATCTGCGTTAGTGGAAATACAGAAAGCACAGGCCTGGTGCGTTAACAGAGCCATAAACGATGATGATGAAAATGAGTTGGACGACATCAAAACGGCCGAGGACGCCATTCATGCAGCTATTAAACGTGCCAGAATGACCAGAAAGCGTATATCGTCATTCGTGCAGAAGCCTGTTACACGTCAGTTGCGAGAGTCGGCTGTCACGAGAGTTCGAAGTGGTCTGGTGGCCGGACATGTATGAGAGCAGTGGCTTCGGCAAAATGTCATTGCAGTATTACATTGGGAAAGTATTTCACTCGTGAACCACTAAACTGGGAATCCCCTCTGAAAATTTCGTTATGTTATCTTTACATGCTCAACCACAACTTCGGCATAAAGTTGATTTTACACGGAACGACTTATTCGTGTCACTTAGCGCGGACAATACTTAACAAGGACACTGCGGGCAAGTTTTCTCAGCACGCTGCTTCAACAAAAATAATGAGTGCAGGTGGTCGTCAAAAATTATATGGTGTAACATCACTTTAAGCTGTTAGAATATTTTACATTGCAATATTTCATTTTGTTGAGAGTTATTACAAGTTTTCGATCAATAGCTTGTTTATTCCACAGCGCGTGTACGAGGGTAGTTCTGAAAGTGCGTGAGTCAGACGTAACAAATTTCGAGAACGTGGCTCGTGTCGCTCGACGCAAACGGAGTCACATTTACATTTATTTTATTATAACTTAAAGCGGACACAATTTTAAGACACAACTTGAAATGATTTCCTTCGTTTAACAAATTTGCAGAATTAGTATAACTACATCTGTTTACTCCTGAAAATATTAAATTCACGTTACGCGTTCTATAATTTTTGCGTTTGTCATATTATTTCGAGATCTATTACTAAAGCCGGGGCCGAGCTATCAACTTAGTCCCTACAGTATTGCCTTAATGAAACGAATTCACGCCGAAATACGGGTATTATAAGCACCCAAGCATCTCGGTTGTTTACGGGTAGTGAACCTCAGGCATTTAAAAACTCGCATTCAACTTAAAATCTTCTTATCAGAGTACCCTTGTAAACACCAGGCGAAACGGATTCACACCAAAATACGAGTGTTCCAAGCACCCAAATACCTCAGTTGTTTACGGGTAGCGAAATGTGGCATTTCAAAGCTCGGGTCAATCTAG